GTGTGTGTGTGTGTGTGTGTGTGTGTGTGTGTAGGTGGTGTATATGGTGATGTGTATGGGAGGGGGAGGATGAAAGGTGTGTGTGTGTGTGTGTGGAGGGGGGGAGAGGGGCCATTTGAGGAAGCATCACTCTTTGTAAAATCTCTTGTATGTATGTATGTACCTTACCTAAATAAACATTTGATTTGATTTTGATTTGCATGAGGTATATGAGTTGTGATGAGTGTGAGGTGTGACAGATCAACTCATACAGGTGTCCTTCACCCCCCCCCCAGGCGTCGACTGGTCCAGTATGACAAGTGCTGCCCTCTTTATCCTGCTGATGTGTGTGCTGCCCTCTTTATCCTGCTGATGTGTGTGCTGCCCTCTTTATCCTGCTGATGTGTGTGCTGCCCTCTTTATCCTGCTGATGTGTGTGCTGCCCTCTTTATCCTGCTGATGTGTGTGCTGCCCTCTTTATCCTGCTGATGTGTGTGCTGCCCTCTTTATCCTGCTGATGTGTGTGCTGCCCTCTTTATCCTGCTGAAGTGTGTGCTGCCATCTTTATCCTGCTGATGTGTGTGCTGCCCTCTTTATCCTGCTGATGTGTGTGCTGCCCTCTTTATCCTGCTGATGTGTGTGCCTCTGGTGGCAGGTTTCCAGGTATGGCCACTCCTAAGTCTTTCTCTTTTTCAGAAGCTGGAAGCTACTTTCCCCTTTATCACGTAGTGTATTTGAGGTCTTCCTGCTCCAACTCCTATTCTCATAACCTTGCATTTGTCAGGGTTAAGGTCTTGTAGTCATTTCTCAGACTATTTCTGGGGATTATCTAGTTTATCTTGTAATATATTGCAGTTCTCCCCAATTCTGATCCGCCTCGTTAGCTTAGCATCGTCAGCAACCGTAGATAAGAATAAGATTACTTTCGCTGTAAGATCGTTTACATATATTAAGAATATGAAGGGCTCCAGTACCGATCCTTGAGGTACTTCACTCATAACTCATCTCTAACTATGACTCTTTGTCTTCTTCCTGGAAGGTACTCCTTCGCCCACTCTAGCAGTGCTCCCAATACACCAGCCTGTTTGTCAAGCTTGCATGTGAGTAGTTTGTGAGGAACAATGTCAAAAGCTTTCTGGCAATCCAGGAAAATGCAGATGGCCTTAGTTAAGTAAAGAGTCCAGCCCTCTCTATCCTGTTTGATTGTTTTCATCTTGTCACAGAACTCTAACAGGATGATCAAGCAGGATTTTCCTTTACTAAATCCATATTAATGCTGGGAAACAAAATGTATATGTTCTAAATGATTAACAAGCCTTCTTTTGATTAGTCTCTCTAATATCTTACAGGGAATACTTGTTAGTGATGCCGGTCTGTAGTTCAATGGCTAATGTCTTCTTCTCCTTTAAAAAGTAAAGGAGGTCTTCCTGCTTTACTGTATATAACTACTGCATTTGCTTCTTTCTAAATGTCAGGAAGTTCTCCACCATTTCATGTGAAGTGTTGGAGAGGGCATCATTCTGCAAGGGCAGAATGATACAGCTGCCTCCTTTAGCATTAATGGTGAGATCTTGTCTGGGTCTGTTGCTCTCATCTCATCCAGTTCCTCTGCTCCTTTACTTCCTCTAGCGTTATATTTCAGGGAACCTTCCTTCTGGTGGTACCTGTTACATTAGAAATCGTAGATCTGGGGACAGTTCTGGTTCAAACATAGAAACTTCCTGCAAGATTTAATTGAGTCCTTCACACACACTTCTTTATCATTCTTTGTGTAGCCTCCTCCTCCTCCTCCTCTCTTGCACAGGCTGGTCACTTACTTGCTCATTTACCGACATATGACATAGACATAGTACTACGACATAGTCCTCATATGACTATATAGTAGTACTCACCTAACTGTACTCGCTTAATTGTGCTTGCGGGGGTTGAGCTTTGGCTCTTTGGTCCCGCCTCTCAACTGTCAATCAACAGGTGTATAGGTTCCTGAGCCTATTGGGCTCTATCATATCTACACTTGAAACTGTGTACGGAGTCAGCCTCCACCACATCACTTCCTAATGCATTCCATTTGTCAACCACTCTGACACTAAAAAAGTTCTTTCTAATATCTCTGTGGCTCATTTGGGCACTCAGTTTCCACCTGCGTCCCCTAGTGCGTGTGCCCCTTGAGTTAAATAACCTGTCTTTATCTACCCTATCAATTCCCTTGAGTATCTTGAATGTGGTGATCATGTCCCCCCTAACTCTTCTGTCTTCTAGCGAAGTGAGGTTTAATTCCCGTAGTCTCTCCTCGTAGCTCATACCTCTCAGCTCGGGTACTAGTCTGGTGGCAAACCTTTGAACCTTTTCCAGTTTAGTCTTATCCTTGACTAGATATGGACTCCATGCTGGTGTGTGTATGTGTGTGTGTGTGTGTGTGTGTGTGTGTGTGTGTGTGTGTGTGTGTGTGTGTGTGTGTGTGTGTGTGTGTGTGTGTGTGTGTGTGTGTGTGTGTGTGTGTGTGTGTGTGTGTGTGTGTGTGTGTGTGTGTGTGTGTGTGTGTGTGTGTGTGTGTGTGTGTGTGTGTGTGTGTGTGTGTGTGTGTGTGTGTGTAAGTACCTAACTTAATTACCAAAGTGTAGTCACAGTAACAGACTTATGCTCACGGAATCACATCTTTAGCTGTATTTTTGTTAAATCTAAACATGACTGTTTCTTTCTGCACGAGAGAGTTTGTGTATCCCTGTGTCCGCCATGTATTCTTGCGTCACGTGCCCCTCCCTCCCTCCCTGTGTCCTACATGAGGCAAGAGAGGAAGAGAATGAGTATGTGTGCGCCAGAACAGAGTATAGTGAGGAAGTGTTCTCAAGGTGATGATAACTTCCTTCCCCCCCTTCCTTGCTGTTTCCGTCTTCTGCTCCACTCACTGTCATGCTAAACAATTAGCGCCTATATGTTTCTCCTTCACCCGTGGACGACGTTTATTCAGTACTGTCTGAGGCATTTGTGGACGGTTCTTGGTTGACTGCATGCCAACCATAGCACAAGGTCTCTATCATTGTGACGCGGCTCACCCCGTGGATACAAATAATTGAGTATGCCATAGACAACAGCCCAGCAGAAAACGGGACCGTCAGAATGAAGAGTCTTCCGGGATTAGGTGAATGTGTACACGTTGGAAAGTTAAGGTTAAGGATTTAACCAATAATCATTTTTTTTTTAGATACTGTGTGTAATAAGAATAGAATGTGGGTTAACCTTGCCCATGGATATCTCCCCGTGGCACGTAGAGTGCCAGGGAATATGTCACAAGAGGTAATATTTGTGTGAGAGATGGTAGAGTGGGCCCCGCCCCCCCACCAGGCGGGCCCTCAAGGCCAGGGGGCCCTGGACTGCTGCTGCTGCTGATGCCTCACGGAAATCTCAAACTCTATTTTCCTGCGAGGCAACACGAGTCATTGATAACTTCCGCATCTGCCAGCAATCTCGTAGAAGGTTATTACTGAATGTTTTTCTTTAATTCCTCCTAGATGACTATCTGGGAGAAGTCTACGGTTCGTGAGAGTGGCTTCGTCTTACACAAGCTTGGAAGATGAATGCCAGCGTCGGAGTAGCAATATATATATTGCAATATATATATCTACATGGAAATATGACTAATAAGCAAGAGATAGCGAGAGAACAGCGTTGCCAATAGGTGTAGTTACCACACTCAACCTTGCTCTTTACTTAACTCACCGGAAGTTCCACGTTACTGGGGCATCTCAAGAAATATATTTGATCTGGTCATACTGTATTAGTTAAACGACGTGGTCATACTGTATTAATTAAACGACGTGGTCATACTGTATTAATTAAACGACGTGGTCATACTGTATTAATTAAACGACGTGGTCATACTGTATTAATTAAACGACGTGGTCATACTGTATTAATTAAACGACGTGGTCATACTGTATTAATTAAACGACGTGGTCATACTGTATTAATTAAACGACGTGGTCATACTGTATTAATTAAACGACGTGGTCAAACTGTATTAATTAAACGACGTGGATCATACTGTATTAATTAAACGACGTGGTCATACTGTATTAATTAAACGACGTGGTCATACTGTATTAATTAAACGACGGTTGTTCTGGTGTATTGTTGTTAGGCCTGAAGCCTCGGGCCAGGTACTGGACCTGGTTACGTAGTTCAGAGTTGTGTGTACCTGCCTAGATGTGATTGGGCTTCGGCTCTTTGGTCCCGCCTCTCAACCGTCAATTAACTGGTGTACAGGTTCCTGAGCCTACTGGGCTCTATCATATCTACACTTGAAACTGTGTAGGGAGTCAGCCTCCACCCACATCACTGCCTAATGCATTCCATTTATTAAATTCTCTGACACTGACACATATATGTTTGATGCCTCTGAGGCTCATTTGGGTGCTCAACTTTCACCCGTGTTCCCGTGTCCGTGAAATCGTCCCCGTGTGGATGTGTCGTCACGGAGGACGACACGTCGACACGGAGGACGACACGTCGACACGGTGGAGAAACGGTCAAATAAATCCGTGTAAGACTTAATCGACTGCTTCAGTCGATTAATTCAGCGTCTGGGATCCTCTCGAACGTAGGTTCGAACCCTCGTCACGGCCCTTGTGGATTTGGTCAAATAAATCCTTGTAAGGTTAGGTAAAGTACAGGGCGCTAGACCTTAATATCCTCGTGGGTTATTAAGGAAGCTAGGGGGGAACCTGCTGCTTGGGTAACAGCTTCTCCACCATTTCAACCTACCCTGGCTTTGGGACCCTGGAGAGACCACTCCAGACCGACAACCAGAGCGCCACTCCATGGTCTCCTGAGACTGATGGATGCCTACTACTACTAGTTCTTTGACCTCCTTGTAAGTACACTTAAGATTACAGTATAGGAGAGGATTTTTTGCCTGTATTTCAGAAGTACAAAACGCTTTCTACTGGGTGCTGCAATTTTGAGGTATATAAACAGCATTTTTTTCTATTAGTAGGTTTTTTCCTATTGGGCAATAATAGGTTTCACCTCTTTATGTGGACTGTTGCGCCAGCCTCCTGTCTCATGTTCCCGTTCTCTATGATGTTCCCGTTCTCTGTAATGTTCCCGTTCTCTGTGATGTTCCCGTGCTCTGTGATGTTCCCGTGCTCTGTGATGTTCCCGTTCTGTGTGATGTTCCCGTTCTCTGTGATGTTCCCGTTCTCTGTGATGTTCCCGTTCTCTGTGATGTTCCCGTTCTCTGTGATGTTCCCGTTCTCTGTGATGTTCCCGTGCTCTGTGATGTTCCCGTGCTCTGTGATGTTCCCGTTCTCTGTGATGTTCCCGTTCTCTGTGATGTTCCCGTTCTCTGTGATGTTCCCGTTCTCTGTTATGTTCCCGTTCTCTGTTATGTTCCCGTTCTCTGTGATGTTCCCGTTCTCTGTTATGTTCCCGTTCTCTGTGATGTTCCCGTTCTCTGTTATGTTCCCGTTCTCTGTGATGTTCCCGTTCTCTGTTATGTTCCCGTTCTTTGTGATGTTCCCGTTCTCTGTGATGTTCCCGTTCTCTGTGATGTTCCCGTTCTCTGTGATGTTCCCGTTCTCTGTGATGTTCTTGCGCTTCTCTGGGTGAAAGAGGTGATAATGAGTCGGTGCCAGCAATCTAGTTCCTCCTCACACCTCCTGTACCCCTCACACCTCCTGTACCCCTCACACCTCCTGTACCCCTCACACCTCCTGTACCCCTCACACCTCCTGTACCCCTCACACCTCCTGTACCCCTCACACCTCCTGTACCCCTCACACCTCCTGTACCTCCTCACAACTTGCATATCTTTACTGATTTCCATCATCCATTGTAACCAAGTTTGTGTCAAGTGGGACTCGATCACCCTCTTAGAACCCCATGTTAGGGGTTGGTCAGGACGCTTACACACACACACACACACACACACACACACACACACACACACACACACACACACACACACACACACACACACACACAGTGATGCACTATGTACTTCCTTGTTATTCTCTTTAACACTGTTCATTATATGCTAGTTAGGGTCGCTGGTATAGAGGACTGGATCGTGCCTGTCTCCTAACTGCTAGTATATTGGTGTGAAGAAGCTGTTGGCGCCTCCTTGTGGCTACCAGGCACCATCCCGGACCCACACACACGCACACACACACGCACACACGCACACACACGCACACGCAGAGGATCCTGCCTCTCCCCCCCTCCCCCCACCACCACCATTACATCACGGCTCTCTAATGAGCGTGTAGCAGCGGTCTTGTCATGTGTTATGAGGTCATGATGAGAGAGAGTGTGTGAGGTGGAGCAAGTGAACGCCGCCGCCGCCACCTGCTGAAACCTTTCTCTATAGCCTCCACTGCAATGTATAGAACTTTATATGTATTTATTATATCATACTATATACTGTACTTATGCACTGTCATACTATATACTGTACTTATGTACTGTCATACTATATACTGTACTTATGCACTGTCATACTATATATTGTACTTATTATATATGTACTGATTATTACTTCTTAAGCAGTGTTGCTAAAGCTGTGAACATATTTGCAACTGTAAAAGAGACAACGCCAGCAGTTTCTTAGCCTGTTTTCACAGGCCATAGGAGTTGTGGTTCTAAGGCGGGCCTGACTGCGTTCAAGCCCCTTATATCCGCGACTGGTCGTGAGGAAACATTATGAGGCCAGCATGGAGAAGTCTTGATCCTCCTCCTCCTCGCACCTGGTGATCTGTATAGCTCCAGAGATCAGCACACACACCCATACAAAGAAAACAGAAGCGAGAGGGGGGGATATGATAGGAACGTATAAAATACTCAGGGGAATTGACGGAGTGGAAATAGACGAAATATTCACACGAAATACTAACAGAACGAGGGGGACAAGGGTGGAAGCTGGAATTTGAGATGAGTCACAAAGATGTTAGGAAGTTTTCTTTTAGTGTGAGAGTAGTGGAAAAATGGAATGCACTTGGGGAACAGGTTGTGGAAGCAAACTCTGTTCATAATTTTAAAACTAGATATGATAGGGAAATGGGACAGGAGTCATTGCTGTAAACAACCGATACTCGAAAGGCGGGATCCAAGAGTCAATGCTCGATCCTGCAAGCACAAATAGGCGAGTACAAACAGGTGAGTACACACACACAGACATCGTCTTGAAAGAGGTCAGGGAAGGTCAAGCGTGGGTCAATTGCCCTCTGTGCGGTACCGGGAAACAGTTACAGGCATGACCAAGGCATATATATAATGTGTGTGTGTGTGTGTGTGTGTGTGTGTGTGTGTGTGTGTGTGTGTGTGTGTGTGTGTGTGTGTGTGTGTGTGTGCACTTGATGTGTAGAATGACGAGGGTTTCATGTGTTTTTTGTTTATTATTATTATTATTATTATTATTATTATTATTATTATTATTATTATTATTCTACCACAGACGTGGCCACACATATACAATGCTAACCAGCATATATATAAATTTTATTCTGTCCTCCATGGACAGGGTTAGAGATCTGTTAAACTTGTGTGAACCAGTGAACCAGTGAACCAGTGAACCAGTGAACTAGTGAACCAGTGAACTAGTGAACCAGTGAACTAGTGAACCAGTGAACCAGTGAACCAGTGAACCAGTGAACCAGTGAACCAGTGAACCGGTGAACCAGTGAACCAGTGAACCAGTGAACCAGTGAACCAATGAACCAGTGAACCAGTGAACCAATGAACCAGTGAACCAGTGAACCAGTGAACCAATGAACCAGTGAACCAGTGAACCAGTGAACCAATGAACCAGTGAACCAGTGAACCAGTGAACCAGTGAACCAGTGAACCAATGAACCAGTGAACCAGTGAACCAATGAACCAGTGAACCAGTGAACCAGTGAACCAGTGAACCAATGAACCAGTGAACCAGTGAACCAGTGAACCAATGAACCAGTGAACCAGTGAACCAGTGAACCAGTGAACCAATGAACCAGTGAACCAGTGAACCAGTGAACCAGTGAACCAATGAACCAGTGAACCGGTGAACTAGTGAACCAGTGAACCAGTGAACCAGTGAACCAATGAACCAGTGAACCAGTGAACCAGTGAACCAATGAACCAGTGAACCAGTGAACCAGTGAACCAGTGAACCAGTGAACCAGTGAACCAGTGAACCGGTGAACCAGTGAACCAGTGAACCAGTGAACCAGTGAACCAATGAACCAGTGAACCAGTGAACCAGTGAACCAGTGAACCAGTGAACCAATGAACCAGTGAACCAGTGAACCAATGAACCAGTGAACCAGTGAACCAGTGAACCAGTGAACCAATGAACCAGTGAACCAGTGAACCAGTGAACCAGTGAACCAGTGAACCAATGAACCAGTGAACCAGTGAACCAGTGAACCAGTGAACCAGTGAACCAGTGATCTCTCTCTCACCCACACATAAATTATGCCCCAATAAATAGCGTCCAATCTCATGTGTGGCGAACATTTTTATGACATAGTTTACACCAGAGTTTATTTACTGGTATCCCAGACCACACAGTTTACACCAGAGTTTATTTACTGGTATCCCAGACCACACAGTTTACACCAGAGTTTATTTACTGGTATCCCAGACCACACAGTTTACACCAGAGTTTATTTACTGGTATCCCAGACCACACAGTTTACACCAGAGTTTATTTACTGGTATCCCAGACCACACAGTTTACACCAGAGTTTATTTACTGGTATCCCAGACCACCATTTACACCACAGTTTACACCAGAGTTTATTTACTGGTATCCCAGACCACACAGTTTACACCAGAGTTTATTTACTGGTATCCCAGACCACACAGTTTACACCAGAGTTTATTTACTGGTATCCCAGACCACACAGTTTACACCAGAGTTTATTTACTGGTATCCCAGACCACACAGTTTACACCAGAGTTTATTTACTGGTATCCCAGACCACATAGTTTACACCAGAGTTTATTTACTGGTATCCCAGACCACACAGTTTACACCAGAGTTTATTTACTGGTATCCCCCAGACCACACAGTTTACACCAGAGTTTATTTACTGGTATCCCAGACCACACAGTTTACACCAGAGTTTATTTACTGGTATCCCAGACCACACAGTTTACACCAGAGTTTATTTACTGGTATCCCAGACCACACAGTTTACACAAGAGTTTATTTACTGGTATCCCAGACCACACAGTTTACACCAGAGTTTATTTACTGGTATCCCAGACCACACAGTTTACACCAGAGTTTATTTACTGGTATCCCAGACCACACAGTTTACACCAGGGTAGACTATGGTGGTTATCTTGAGATATCTTGAGATGATTTCGGGGCTTAGCGTCTTGTCCTCGACCAGGCCTCCTTTTTGCTACACCAGGAAGCAGCCCGTAGCAGCTGTCTAACTCCCAGGTATCTATTTACTGCTAGGTAATAAAGGCATCAGGGTGAATGAAACTATGCCCATTTGTTTCCGCCTCCGCCGGGGATCGAACCCGGAACCTCAGGACTACGAATCAGAAGCGCTGTCCATTCAGCTGTCATGCCCGGTGGGACCCTAGTATCCCAGACCACTCAGTTTACACCAGAGTAGAGTGTGGTAATACGTTGTGGTATACCAGACCACAAATATGCTTATTTCTGTCGCTGCAACGACCTTCTTGTTGAAACGGATCAACTGACTCATAAGAACTCATAATCGAGTCCTTTGAGCGATTGATCCATAATTGAGTCTTGAGTGACTCATAATTGTATATATGGATAGATGGTTTGCTTGTAATCTGTGTATCTATGTATTTACGTATGTAGCTTAGCCTAGCATTTTAAAAGCACTACAATCACCTTCTGTGGTTGATTGTTCAATACATCCCTGAACTATATGTTTAACAAATCTCTAACCCTGTCCTTGGAGGACAGAAGAAAATGTATATACGCTGGTTAGCAGTGTTAATGTGTGGCCACGTCTGTGGTAGAAAATAATAATAATAATATAATAATAATAAAAAGTGTTTGCTTACTCGCCATAAACACTCACTACTCTTCCTTCACGCTATTCCTTCCTCCTTTACCTCTACCTTTCAAGTTTACACCCTTCTCTTGCCCTTCTCCCACGGGGGGCAATAGCACAGCGAGGCGACCTTGCCCGGGGTGACCAGTGATGGTGGTGGCCCAGGAAACCCAGCCAGTCACTGCGGCTGGAGGACCTACACTTTTCAGGGTCGAGTAGCACGCCTGCAGCGCCTCCCTCAGGTCCAGTGGTCTGGCAGCACACCCTCTGCTGCCTGCCAGGCTCATACAATCACTCGTCCATCTCTTCAAGGGTCTTTAACGTCTAAAAACGGCCGGGTAAAGGGAGGAGGAACCTCAGATGACGGATGATAGCGAGAGCGCTTAGCGCCAGGCTTTGTTATGGTTGGGAAATGTGCGGAGCGCCGCCGCCGCCGCCGCCGCCGCGTCCTGCTTGGCGTAATGGGCGGGTGAAAGTCTCCAGGGCGGTGGGAGGAGGAGGAGGAGGAAGGGAGCGAATTACGGAAGGTAGGAACCGAGGAAGGGAGGGAGGGAGGGAGGGAGGGAGGGAGGGAGGG